AGGCAAAAAAAAAAATTTTTAACTGCGGCAAAATACACATGTCATCGCATCGACCATCCCAGCTGTTGTTACATGTCCCATCCAGGGGCACTGAGGACAGTCATGGTGTCATGCATCCGTCACCACCCTTTGACCCAGAACCTTCTCGTCGTCCTACCCTGAACCTCCGTCCCCATGGAGCCCTCTCTCCCTGGCACTGCCCCCCCGCTCTCTGTCTCCATGGATCTGAGGATGCTGGGGCCTCAGGTGCGGCATCCCAGTCCTGAGCGCCTCCAGGGCAGGACCCTGGAGCATCATCTTAGACTCTGCCCAGGACCGGAGTAGACACAGCGGCAGACAGGACAGGACACATTTTACCTGGAGGGGACAAGTGTGAGCATATGTGTCTTTCTTTTTGGCGTGAGTGCAGCGTGATCAGGCATCAGAACAGCTAAGCAGCCTTCAGGACGTGTATGACTGAATGCCAACCAGCCAGGCATCCCTCAGCCCCTGCTGGGCTCCCCCAGAATCTGGAGTCCCATCTCTCACCTTGGTAGTGATTCTGCCCCATGGGGGCCTTTCCCACTCACCCTGCCCACTGGGTGTGCACTCCATGGGGTGTGGCGAGCCTGTCCACTGGCCAGACCCTTCCCTCCCCGGTGAGACTTGGCCAAGGAGGAGCCACCTCCCCACTCGTGGGAGCCACACACAGCTGGGTCCACTGTCTCCTGACACAGCGCAGGCCACGGCAGGAGGGGCCGGTGGCAGCTGGAACCCAAGCCATGAAGTCCAGGTGCCAGTTCCCCGAACCTCCAAGCCCTCTCTCAGGGCCTGAAAACTGTTTTACAGAAGCAAACATGCTATCAAACAGATGCCACAGTGGGGACACTGAGGCACCGAGGGCCCCTGAGGTGCCAGCACACAGGGACAGCTGGGCTAACACGAGCACGCGCCTCTGCTTCAAGCCCAGGATACCCACAGCCAGGGGACAGGCGGCTATCACCCTCATGGCACCGGGATGGAAAAGCCATGACAGGCAGCCTCAGGGTCTGAAAGGCGCTGTCGCCTGTGGTCCCTTAGAAGAGCGGCTTCTCGGAAGGCTGAGGTGGAAGGACGGCCTGAGCCCAGCAGGTCAAGGCTGCAGTGGCCATGAGCGTGTCCCTCCCCTCTAGCCTGGGGACAGAGTGAGACTCCAACTCAAAAAAAAAAGTGACTTGTCGCAGCCTCCCACCAAGGTGCCTTAGAGGGCTTGAAAGCCGTGACCTATAAGACCTATTCTCCTCTGCCTCGGAGAGCGTCGAAAACTCTTCAGCTGCAGGGTCACCCAGCCTGGGTCCCGGCCATGCCCCTTCCCTCCCAGGCCTCCCATACAGGTTACCGAGAAGCTGGGCCAGGGGTGTGGCCCCAGGGTGAGTGACTCAGAGGCATGGCTGATGACCACGTGGTGATGCTGGTTGGCTGGGGACTCGCAGTCGACTGGACGATGGCCCCAAAGGTGTGGGTGTCCAAACCCTGTGAATAGCTCAGCTTCGTGACCCTAGGGAATCTGCAGGGCGACTGTAGGGAGGGTCTGGAGGGGAGCATCCCTGATCCCCGGGTGGCCCTCACGGGACCACAGGGGCCTTCTGAGAGGGAGGCAGGAGGGTCAGAGTCGTGACGACGGAACCAGCGCTCAGAGGGGGAGGACACGTCTCTGCCCCCAGGCCTGATCACATAGGCCTGAGACCAGAGGACCCTGGGTGGATAGAGATGGGGAAAGAGGCTGCAGCCCCATGTCACCTCCCTGCCTTCGCTTCCACGTGGCCTCAGAGGCCCTCGGAGTCTCAGTTTCCCCACTGTCGCGTCTGTTTAAAAGCGTGTTGGTGGAGCCGAGTCCTCACAGGGACTCGGGGCGGGGTTGGGCGCTCGCATTGCTGTCTGGGAAGTGCCAGCAGGGTTGGTGGTCCATGAGTGGTGGAGTTGGTCCCACGTGGAGGCCCACAGCCCCCCGGATGCTCCTTTTTTTTGTTTTTTGTTTTTTGTTTTTTGAGTAGGAGTCTCGCTCTGTCGCCCAGACTGGAGTGCAGTGGCCGCTCCCGGCGGCCCTTCCGCCTCAGCCTTCCAAGTAGCCAGAATTACAGGCACGCACTACCATGCCTGGCTGATTTTTTGACTTATGGTAGAGGTGAGGTCTTGCCAAGTTGCCCAGGTGGGTCTCGAACCCGTGGACTCAGGCAATTCACTCACCTCAGCCTCCCAAAGCACGGGATTACAGGCTGAGCCACTGAGCCCGGCTCCCCTGGATGCTTCTTCTTGTTGGACAGAGTGATTTGTGCACCTCTCGCTGGGGCCCTGGGCAGGCGGGCTTGGCCACCTCTTTGCAGGACATGGCACTGGGGACCTCGGGGCATAGTCACAGGGCTTCCTGCTGAGTCCTGAGGCCCAGCTGGACATCGGACAGTGCTGCCCTCCATAGCCCGTGGGCTCTGACTCGTGCCAGTGAGGAAACTGAGGCAGGGGAGTGGCCAGTGGGTGCCACTGGCCACAGTGTCCCTCTGTGCAGAAGCCTTCATGGTCCCATCTGCAGCCCATGGGCCTCGGGGGTGGCTGGGCGGCACCTGTTCCATGTTGGGCCGATCTGGGCAGGCGTCTACCTGCCCCCACAAACTGAAACAGGCTGGGAGGGGACCAGCGGGGCAGAAGCCTGGCCAAGCTGCAGGCCTGGGTGTGGGGCTGGGCGCAAGTTCCCTTCTGTGAGCCCAGACTGAGTCCCTGGCTCCTGCAGGGGCTTCTGGGGGGTGCGGCTGCCTGAATCCAGCCCCGGCACCCGCTAGCTCCCCAGGGCTGCTTCTCATGCCTCCTTGGGGTCCACGGAGCCAAGCTGGGAGCCCCATCTTGCTAAGCCTAGGCGCCCTGGCCTCCACTGCCCTCGTCTTGCTAAGCCTGGGCGCCCTGGCCTCCACTGTGAATGACCTCGCTCTCTGTTCCTGCCAGTGCTGTGTGGTCTGTAATCCCAGAGACAGATCAGGGCATAGCAGCCCCAAGGTGGGGACCACCAGGTCCAAGGGAGCCCCCAGGGGAGCCCCGGAGGGCTCAGGCATCCTGTCCAGGTGGACAGGAATGGTCCTCAGAGCCAGGCAACAGGAGTATGGGGTGCAAAGAGTCCTGGCAGGCAGCCCTAAGGGTGCACATGCCAGAGGGCGTGATGTGGCTGGAGCCTCGGGCCTGTGCAGAGCTGGTGGTGGGAGCCCAGGCTCGAGGAGGGGTCAGCTGGGTACCCCTCAGGGTCTTGTCTGCCATTCTTAGGCTAGCATGGTGCGTCCAGATGTTGGAAGAGCTGAGTCACCTTAAGGACGCGCAAAGCTGAAAGCCAGCCAGGCGTTCCTGGGCCTTCTACTGGGTTCCCACCCGGACCCAGAGCCCCCAGGGTCTGTGGAGGAAGGGTGGGGCTGGGTGCTCCTCCCCAGGCCTGCTGGAGCAGCCGTGAGCTGAGCAGACTTGTGCTTTCGGTTGCGTCCTGTGGGGAGTAGGCTGTGGGGGGAAGAGCATCTCAGGCACTCGCTGTCTTGGGGGTGGACAACAGGGCCAGTCGCAGCGGTGAGTGTAAGGGACACTGTGGGGGGGGGCAGGGGCAGACATCAGCCGGCCTCTCTCTGTGCCAGGCGGGGCCCACCCTGCAGGAGCCCGAGGGGCTTCCAGGCAGGGCAACGGCGGGAGCAAAGACCCTGAGGTCCGTGGGGCCCGGTACACTCAGGCCCAACAGAGAGGGCTGGCAGGGCAGGGCCTGGGCATCCAGAGTTCCACGGTGTCCCGCGGTGGGGATGGGTGTGAGGGCTCACTCCCCTGCTCGGGGGGCAGCTGGGGGTCCAGGCTAGAGGCCGTTGCTGTGGTCGGGGCAGAGCTGAGGCTGGTTGGGAAGCGCTAAGTCTGTCAGGCTGGGATCAGCGTGGCAGGTGGCGCTGACGTGGGAGGCCCCGGGTGTGGGGAAAGCGGCGGCGGGTGAGGGGCCACCCCACTGCAGGCTCTGGTCTGGCCGCAGGGGGTGCAGCTGGAGGGAGGGGTGCCCGGGAAGGGGCTGTGTGCTGGACGGCCTTTGGGTGGGCTGCGGGGGCCAGGAAGGGACACTCCTGCCTCCCAGAGCTTGTGGGGGCCCCAGAGTCCCACCTCCCTCAGAAAACTGGGTGGGAGCAGTGAGCCAGGGCTGTGGGTGGTGCCTGTCTGTGGGGCAGCCAGGAGAGCTGGCTGTGCGCGTCCAGGCAGGCAGGCAAGGGGGGTCCTGGGTAAAGCTGAGCCTGGGAGGCTGGTGGGCGTGGACGTGGGCATCCTGGCTGCTCGGGGGGCATTTGGGACTGCGGACTGCAGGACGTGGGGAGGGGAGGGGAGGGGAGGGATGGAGAGGGGAAGAGCCTGGGCCCTGGGGCTGGGCCGAGGGGCTGTGCTGTGTGTGGCCCCTGGGCTCCATGCGTGTGGCTGTCTCCTGGGCCCTCAGGCCATGTGGCAGCTTGAGTCATCCCGTCCCCAACACCAGCAGGTGTTTGGAGTCTCTGGAGCCCACCAGACTCTCCCCGGAGACAGGAGCAGAACAGGGGACCTGTGACCTGTGCTGCCACCCACCCGAGCGGCCACCAGGGCTGGGCAGGGAGGGTGTGCCTGCGGGAGGCGTCTTATCTTTAGGGCTCCTGGATCCGTGTGGGGCGGGGCTCCCACCGGCCTTCTGATGCCATGCTGGGCTCTGGGGAGGGAAGGTGGACCCTGGGGCGTGACTTGTGCCCCCCAGCCTCGCGGCCCCTCCGGTGCCACAGGCGCTTGGAGGCAGCCCGCTCCCAGTGCGGGGGTGACCGCCTGACGAGCTAGCTTCTGCGCCATAGCCCTGGGCACCCCCTCCCTGAGCCCTGAACCCCGGGTGGGGCGGGAGGGCCCAGCTGCTCCTGAGAAGCGATCTGTAAACATGGCTGTGTGGGATGAGCCACACGCCATGGCTCACACGTGTCCAGGGCGCCCCAAGGCTCTCGGACTGTCCCTCACTGCCATCTGCCTCGAGCATGTCTGGTTCCCCCAGAAGGAAACCCTTGCCCCATCAGCGGCCAGGCCCCGGCAGCCCCCACAGCCCCCGTCTGCCCGCTGTGCCACGGGCTTGCCTGATCAGGACGTGCTCCCATGCGGGTGGTCGTCGGAGTCTGGGCTGTGTGCGAGGATCCCAAGATCTGGCTGCCCTGGGGCGCGAGTCCTCTCTGTCCCTTTTCCGGGACACGCTCCGGTGTGGGTGCACATGTCTTGTGCCCGTGCCTGCCAACGGGTGGCTGGGTTTCGGCAGCACCCCGAGTCCTCGTCCCGGGGTGCCTCTGCTGGGGGCACGGGGCTGAGGGCCGCCGGAGCTGACCATGTGTTGCTTGTTTTGCAGCTTCCTCATTGTCCTGGTCTGCCTCATCTTCAGTGTGCTGTCCACCATCGAGCAATACGCCGCCCTGGCCACGGGGACCCTCTTCTGGATGGTACGTAGGTGCCCAGGGGACCATGGCTGGATGTCACAGCCGCCCCAGGGGCTGGCGAGTTCCAGGCATTGGGTGCCATGAGGTGGGGCAAAGCCGTTCCCAGCCTCTTACCCGCACAGTGGCCAGCTGCCCTGCTGGGGTCCTGGGGACACTTCCTGGTCCCCACACTTCCAGCTCACTTGGGGTGTGTGGGCCACAGATGGGGAGTGAGTAGTCCCGGAGGGCTTCTTGGAGGAGAGGGCTTCTGAGCGGGGCTGGAAGGAAGGGTGGGAGGGCCAGGTTATGGCAGAGCTGATGTTGTGGTTAACAGGTGCCTGCCTAAGCTTGCGTGTGTGGTGGCCCTGGGTTTGGGTGGGTCCTGCCCTGCGTGGTCACCAATACGTGGGCCCTGCAGGTGCCCCAGCACCCACCCCCCACCCCAGTCACTTGAAGGCCCCTTCTGATGGCCTGAGAGGCTCCCAGCTCAGCATCGCCTGTCCCGCCTCTGGGCACCATCCTCCCTCCCATGTCTGGGTTCTGAGCACCCGCGTCTTCCTCCTCTGGGCCAGGGCTGGGGTCACTTGGCCTCATACCCATGTCCCAGCCCTAGAGCACACACCCGGGGGCACTTGTGGACTGAAGGGATCATTAACCATCCAGCGAGTCACCCAGTTGGAGATGCCTGGGAGGCCACGGGGGGTTCCAGGATCTGTGGGCGGGGGCACCCCGGGCGGGGCCAGCTGGGCACAGGCGACGAGGTCCCCAGGGGCGGGTGGAGTTAGAGGAGGGTGGAGGCTGGGGGGGAGCACCATGGGGTCCCCGGACGGAGTCACATGAGGACTGGAGTGGCGGGCGGGACCGATGGCCAGCGGAGGGGACGGAGATCTCGGCACACGGGAGCCCCTCATCGGGAGTGGGTTGAGTGGATTGGGCCCAGCTCTCCTCCGCAGACCACAGGAATCCCTCAAGGCAGGCCCGGGAGGGCTCCGGACCCCACAACCTGGGTGGGCCTGGCTCCGGTGGGGAGACTTGGAGCCAGACCATGAGGGTGACTCCGCATGGCGTCTGCTGGGCGGGTGGGTGTGCAGCCTCGGGGCTGAGGCAGGTGCAGGACCAGCCATGTCGAGGGGCACAGAGGAAGCGTGTGGATGGCGGGCGCGGTGTGGTCACCAGCAGGCTGTGTCTCCTGTCCTTTGGTGGCCACGTTGTTTGTGAATTTGTCACGGAATGTTCTCGGCATCCCCAGAGGAAGAGATGGGAGTCATGACGGTTGCCCCCCCCTCGACTCTGTGGCAACCTGACTGGTCCCTGCTGGTCCAGCTCATCCCTGTTGGGTCTTTCGGGGAGCCTGCCTGGCCAGGCTCTGAGCCCTTTTGTGTGACCTTGGTGGTGGCATCCGTGTCATCTTAGGCCGTCAATGCCGCCTTGCCTCCGCTGCCTCTGGTCTTCCATCAAGGTGAGGATAGTGTTCCCCGTGGCCCTCATGTGGCCGGCAGCCAGGGAGTTTCCCGGCAAGGGGTGTGGCCCCCAGCCACGTTTCTTCTCTGCCTCAGCCTCCTAGTTCGGCCTGCCCGGCGACCCCCGGGCCTGTCTTCTCCCCGAGGAGAGGTACAGTCTCTGTGGCAACCCAGATGCCCAGAGGTGCGCCACCCACCTGGGGTTCCACTCGATTCCTCTGGTCTGCTGGGCTGTTCCTCTCCTGGGGCCACGTGACGTGACTCTCGTGTGCTGAGGCCCGGCTGGGTGGTCCCTTCCTCTTTGGGGTTTCCTGGAGAGATTCCCCCATGAGTGCTGTGATCACCCTGTCCAGCTCCAGGCGGGAACTGGAGGGTGTCTGGTGCACCCACATGGGACACTGGCCTCTCTGTGATGTCCAAGACGGTCACGCTGTCTCAGGAGGGTCTGTGGCTTTGTCACACGAGTTTAGATTGCCCTGGCTGAGTTTAGTCCTTGTGACGGCAGTGCTGAGCATTGTTGTTGCCGTGAGTTGCTGTCACAAATGGGTCTTCTCCTCATGGTGTCTTCCGGGGACATTTTTGGCAACTGCGAGGCCATCGTCACTGCATCCTTACTTCATGGGGTTTTGTTACCGATGGTGGCTTTTGCGTCTGTTCTTTTGAGTGTCCAGATATGGGGTCCCTGCTAGGAAGGCGGATGGCTGCTCCTGTCTGTCCACGCACGGGAGTGGTGCCTGTGTCCGGTGTCTGTGGCATCCGTGGGTGTGGCTGTGGCGGGGAGCGTCTGGTGTGGCTCCACTGGTGTGGTGGGTTCTCCCGTGTCTGTGAGGGGCTCCTGCTGGCGGAAGCCCTGCCTTGCTGTCCCGGGACACAGCCCTGTGGCCCTGGCGTGTGATTTTTCGTGTCCTCTTGTGCCACGCTCTCAGGCTTTGTTCAGGGCACTGGCATGACTCCCTGGGGGCTCTGGGGGTCCTCCGTGGTGCCACCTCTGCTGGGGTGAGGCCATGTCTCTCCCTCAGGGTGACTCCGGCAGCTGGGGGCAAGGGCCTTGTGTTGCGTCACGTCCCGCCACACACGTGCTGGGTCACCCCGCCCTCCTCACACACCACACCCCCAGGCTCGAGTGTCGGGGAGAGTCACTGGCGTGTATGGCGGGAGCGTGTCTTACCCCAGCCACAGTCGATGGGTGTGGCCAGGCTGCAGGTAGGCAGGCACACCGTGTCTCCTCTGTGGGTGCCTCCATGGTGGGGTCTGGGGGGTGGTCTCGGGCTGCGACTTTTCCCTGCAGGGCCTGGGGCCAAGCGTACCTGCCCAGTGACTCCCAGGCTGTGACAGCCCAGCTGCTGGACAGTCCCTGGGGGCTCCCGTGTGAGACCATGTGTGGGTCTTTGCAGGCATGGACGTGGATATACATGTGCTTATGTGCTCATGTACGTGGGTGTCGGTACCTGTATGCATACATGAGAGACCAAGTGTGCACATGTGTGTGCATGTACGTATATATGCATGCATACTCCAGTGCACTGGTGAAACTGTGTGCATGGGTTGCCTGTGCATGCATATATAGGGGCTTGTGAGCATGGGAATGTGTACATGAGAGGTCACGTGTGCATGAATGTATGTGTGCACGTATGCTCAGGTGCACAGCTGAGACCATGTGCATGGGTTACCTGTGCATGCATGCATTTGCATTAATGTGGGCTCATGTGCATGGGAATGTGAACAAGCAAGGCCATGGGTGTATGTATGTACATGCATGCTAGGGTGATCAGGATCATGTACATGTGTAGCCATGTGTGTATGTATGCACTCGTGTATCTGATCATATACATGTATGCTTACATGTACGGGTGTGTGTTTAAGCCCACATGTGTGTCTGAATGTGTCTGTGTGTGTATGATTACATTGGGGCTCAAACACATGTTTGGCGGTGTTTGAGTGTGTATGGGTGTACACGTGTGTGCATGTGTGTATTTGAGCATGTTCATGCATATATGTATCTGGCCAAGTGCGTGCACATTGTTCTGTGCTGCTGTGAGCGTGTGTATGTCCACATATAGATGTGTCCACATATAGATGAGTATTCACATGTTACATGTGCACACATGTGTCTCTGTTCGTGTGTGTGTGTGTGTGAGCACGTGACCATGCCCATTCCGGCCCTTGTGTGCTCCCTCGGGTTGGCTGGTCGTCCCCTGGCCCCCGTGACTCGGCTCCGTTGCTGGGCGACTGGGACCTGCCGGTCTTGAGCAGCTCTGACGTCGTGGTGGCCCCTGGCCGGGCCCGGCTTGGGCCCTGATTCCCCGGTTCTCGTGGTGCTCACCGCACCCTGTCCCCACTCCCAGTGTGGCTAGCAGGGTGGGGGACGCCCAGCAGAGCGTGCCTGTGGCCAGCTCACGGAAAGGGACACACGGTGGGACCTGAGCTCTGCATACCTGTCTGCGGCCCAGGACCCACCGTGGATGAGTCACCCACGGCCCAGCCCTGCACTTGATGTGTAGACCGTGATGACAGGGTGTGCGCCCCCTGGAAATGTTCCCTTGACACGGGCCCTGGGGAGACAGGAGGCGCAGGCCTTGGCATGCCCGCCCTCCTCAGCGGTGTCACTCGTGTTGAGACATGCTCCCTGGCCCTGGGTTCCCCGACCTGGCGCTGACGTGCCCTGGGGAGATGGCCGCGGGCGTCCCTCCTAGTCCAGGCGGCCCTTGCCTGCCCCACCTCAGAAAAATTAGCCGGGCGTGGTGGCGCGCGCCTGTAGTTCTGGGTACTTGGAAGGCTGAGGCAGAAGGAGCCATCTAGTGGCCATTCTCTGCAGCGCGGCCATGCGTCCCCACCTTGCAACTCCCTCCCTCTGGGGTCCCCAGCCCCACGCAGAGAGCCCCTCCCTGCCGCAGTCCCCACCTCGGAGGGGGTCTCCTTTCCCACCACTCGGAAGTCAGAGGACCCCGTCGACGCCCTCAGCCCCCGTCTCCCACGCTGGTGACCTCTCTGTCCCCTCGAGGGTGCCACCAGGCGCCCCCTGACACAGCAGCTGGGGGAGTTTCTGGAACCAAAATGTACGGCCCAGTGCGGAGGCTCATGCCTGTCATCCCAGCGCCTTGGGAGGCCGAGGCAGGAGGACGGCTTGAGCCTGGGAGGTGGAGACCACAGCGATCCCACCACCGCCCTCCCTCCGGGGCGACGGAGCGAGACCCGAGGTCCACCCGCCATCTGGTGGCCATTCTCTGAACTGTGGCCATGGATTCAGGGCAGCTCTGAGCCGGCGGTCAGCGGGGTCTGGACTTCCGCCCTGCCTTCTCCCCACTCTCTCCTGCCCGCCGAGCTGTGCCAGGGAAGCACCCTTCCCTGCCCAGGTGGGGCCCCAAGCAGAGAGCCCCTCCCACTACCGTCCCCGTCTCAGAAGAGGACCCCAAGTTGTTATATGCTTCTGGGCAGTCTCCCCCTGGACGGTGAGAGAAGGCCTTCGACTTCAGAAGATAATGCAACAAAAGTGCGATAGTCCCAGAAGCCCCCGTGGCATCTGGGAAAAACCCCAACTTCTCTCTCGAGGCCCCGCAGGCCCCT